CTCAGAGCCTCAGAGTCCCCATCTCGGGAAGCGTGATATGCTCATCAGTGCTACCTTCATTCACCACCTTGGCTGATTTCATCAATCTGGCCAGATGAAAGGGCACCTGTTTCCAGCAAGGAACACTGAGATACTTCAAATAGTTTTGGCTTTGGAGTCAGGTATAATTGAAATAGATCCTAGCTTTGCATATATCCAAATGGATGACCCGTTTCAAGAATATTCCAGACACCAATTTTAAATTATCTCTGTCTCTCTCTGTCTCTGTCTCTCTCTCTCTTTCTCTCTCTCTCTCTCTCTGTGTATGTGTTCACATATAAATGCATGTGATTGAGGATGTCAATATCAAACTTGGTTGCTGTTTCTCAGGCACTCCCTAGGTCCTGGAACTCGGCAATTAGGCGAGGTTGTCTGTGCACTGAGCCCTGGAGACCTCATGTCTGCCTCCTGCCTCCGCAATGCCTCACATACACGTGTGTCCTTGAGTTTCTGTGGCAAGCATTTTCCCAACTGAGTTACCTCCCCAGCGCAGAGTCCTAATTTTTTTCTAATCTGTAGGATGACCATAATTCTGCAATTCCCGCTTTCCAACATTTCACTGGGGATAAACACATGCAATGACTCTGGAGCGTGCTGTCTTTGATCTCTGTGTGTTTCTTGATGTCGATTTGCCACTTTGGATTGTTTAAACTCATTTAAAAGTGAAAGCCTCGGGGGGCTGAGTGTACGGCTCAGTGGTAGAGTGCTTAAGACCCATCCCATCTATATCCATCATGAACACAAAATACTTATAATATATGATAGCTTATAACAAGTAACTGTCTATGTGTGGCTGAGAAAGATAGCCAGGCAAAACTAGCCACAGAAGAATGAGTTATATGTGGCTGAATGGTAAAGTGGGTTCAGTCCCCAGCACTCACCCCGTACCCCCAACATAAAACTAAAAATAGCTACAGGGTGTGATAAAATGGTCAGTCTTCAGATCACAGCTATGCTTGTCTATTGGAAGCAATTAAAAGGATTCTTTTTGTGACACTGCCCCTTAGAGATTATGATTCAACTGGACTGCAGTAGATCTTCAAGCTACGGGGGAAGCTCGTGAAATTTCCTAGGGTGTTTCTAATCTACACTGGATACAATGCTTTCTTTTTAAACTTTGCCACTAATTATTTAGAAAAGCGCTCACCACTCTTCAAAGGAATAACCCAGAAGCCTGTTGGAAACAGGGGCTCTGGAGACCTTGCCATTCAGATTCCATTCCACTTAGTTTGGGGGTAGGAGCCTGAGAGGATCCCTGGTGTCCATTTCAACCAGAAAATTTCACACTACTCATTCCGTTAGCATTGTAATGATGCCCCTCTCAGTTCAACTGGGCACTGTAAAATCACAGAGTTTGAAGTTGAGGGTGAGGATATCATTGTCAGAGCTTATGATGGATGAACTTGAATTATGCCACAGAGACATTTTTCCCATATGATCTTTGAAGTCACATGTGCCTCCGGTTTCCAGGATCTTCCTTTTGAGCTACAGGTGGTCTTTACAGAGCTCCCTCCGCATCACCAGGACTTTCTGGGGGCGAACCACCCCCCAACTAACCAAGAGAGCATCATCTGCCTCCAGGAGACAAACAGGAGGTCTGTGGGTTTCACCACCCCCACCCTTTTGTCCAGAACATATCATGCTTTTAATAGTAGAATTCCAAGTTAGCCAATGATCCTTGCCTAACACTCAAACCAAAGAGAAATGGAGACTGGAGGAAACAAGGTATTTCATTAACAGAACAGGACACACACTTGACAAACACGAGGGCTTCCATGGGGACTTTGAAAGGCCAGAGACTTCTTTTTGCATTCTCTTTAGGAACTCACATTTTTCTAGACTCCTCTCATGTTAACTAAACAGAACATCCTCCTCTATTTTGAAACAGGATATTTTCATATTCCAGGAAAAAGGAAACAAAAATACCTATGAGTCAGTCAAAAACATACTTCTAAAACTATTTTGCTTTAGATAGACATTTTGTCTATAATTAATTTTGAAGGTATTGGTTTTTTTTAGAATTTTGTGAATACAGTAAAGAATAAAACACACAGAAAAGGAAGAAGGGAAACCCCCAGACTCTTCTCTTTCCTCCTTAAAGGATTTCTCTTTCTGAGAACACTTGTTCCGTCTATAGAAATAGGTAAATGAATGAATGACAAAGGCAACAAACATATGACAGTCTAGCCAATCAGGTCTTGGGTAACCCAAGATTCTGAACGCTGCATGAAACTCCCAGCTAGACCTTTTTAGAAGAGGGTATCACATCCAGGCTTTCAGACCTTCCTCATACTGCTCTGTACTGGACTAGTCTGGCTGAGTGGAGAGCTGCCTGGGTTGAGATTAATCCTGTTTGCTCCACAGGCCTTTAATTAAAAAGCAGCTCCCACGTACCCTTCTTTCCTCTGCTTCTCAGAGCCTTGACATGGGTTCAGTCATGCACTAGAAACATAAGTGTTTACTGTGGGAAGAGAGCGCTGTACGCTGTGGTGTTCAGCCTTCACCCACTCACCATTCACCTAGAGACTCTTTATAAGGCCTAGCGATTTGGTGTCTTGGAAAGGCTCGGCAGCCATGCAAGACTTCCAGGGCAGTGTAGTGAGAAGTTCCAAGTTACAGAGGAGGCAGAGCTCCTGAAAGGAAAAGACCCTGTCTGTGGTGATGGCCCTAAGTGTTGCGGGATCTATGCCTTAAAATAAAGTGAAAGGCCAGGTGGAGGGATGCACCCAGTGTGATTTTACTATTATTGAAGTTTGTCCTATCGTAGATTTTTTCTGGGACAAGACACAAACTCCTAGTGATTTTATGTTTACTGAACATTCATTCCTCTTTCTGTGCGTGCACTCAACTACATGTATCCATGCTTTCTTTTCACTAGAGACAGGAGGCTGAATCCTGTAAGATAAGATCTCTTATTTGCAGAGCCTTGGCCACTCAGCCAGAGAAGGGAGAGCCTTTAACATGGAGTATCTATTTTATTGATTTGCTGATGTACCGGGTCTCATGATGCAAACATTGTTTTAAGCGCTTTAAAACCCCGACTCATTAAGGCACTTAACAATTTGGAAATCTGTCACCGTTACCATTTACAAAGGACTGTAAGAACTGATTTTTAAATATGGGTCCCTGGAGAGGTGTGCTGGCTCTGTGACCATTGCTGTCATTCCAGTTTAAGTATGAACTTGGAGGTTTCAGAAACACCTAAATTTATGATTTGGGGACTACGGCCTAGCTGATGTTTGCGGAGCCCACTCAACCCTGAAAATCCTGGATTCCTGGAGTGAAATAGCATCCTCCTCACCCGAAGGCACACGTGACTCCCAGGAGAAGGCCATAGCTTATGCTACCACCTCCCATGTGTTTCCCAGTTACTGCAGCTCTGGAGTCTACACCACCGTCACTGCTGGTGACAATTCTGACCACTCCGCCCCCAGCTCCATCTGCTGCAGCCACCAGGCTGCCTTGTAATCTTCAAGCCTCCCACACACCCTGCCTGCTTTCCTTCCATAAAAGCCAAGAGTCCACCATCTTCAAGACATCTTTCCCCTCCACAGTTAACTACGGTGTCCTTTCTTGACGGGCAGCTCAGCTGGGTGAGCCTGCCTTGCAACAAGACACAGAATGCAATGCACTGGGGAAGACGTGGCAGGGTAGAAAGTCAGGTCTCATGATGGGGTGGAAACCCCATCCTCCTCCCCTTTCCTGCAGCTCCACATACAGTTCTATCCACCTTTCTACTTGTAGATCCAGAACAAACTGGAAGTGTTAATTACCCCTCTGCCTCTTCTTCCCAGGAACATTCTTACACCCCTTGAAGTGGCAGAGAGTAGCAATGCAATCTCCTCTTAAAGGATGGCAATTAGCCATGCTATCACTTTTGCTGCTGAGCCTGTTGACCCAAGCAAAACCTGTGGATGATATCCAGCCCCTCTTGACTTTGAGAGCCATGGGCTCACACACAGAACATGGAACCAGGAGGCCTGCGAGCCCTCAAAGTTACTACGAGCCATGAGCCAGGCACCTAAGAACACTTGGGAAAACCTGAGGCAGGAGCAGAACTGTTGTCAGTGCCCAAGATGAGCTTCCTGTCATGCAACAGTGAAAGATGCCAGGATTCCAGCACAATGCATCTCCTTCTCAGCTCTGCTTCGTGACTTCCTAGAATCCCACCACTTTCCTATTTAAACAGGACTCTCTTGCATGCTCTGGGACACAGCCATTAATTATCAAGGTCATTTGACTGGACATCTTAATATTTTTATGAAAAACACAAGCTATGATTTAGAAAAAAAAATCCTACACATCAAGAGGATAAAACATTTTGAATTCTTTTGTTTGTTTGTCTGTTTTTCTAAACAGTGATAAATGTTCTAAATGAAACCTGGAACAGAAGAGCAAGCACACTAGAGCCTAATCAACAGCCTTGAACTAGGGAATGAAAACACTTAGCCTGCCACACTTCACAGAAGGGGACGGAGGCCCTTGAATGTGCATTGAGCATTCTCCAGGCAGCAACTAAGATCACTGAGATTAGATAAGGCAGATACAGAAGTGGCCCACTTATCTCAGAAGCCCATAATCCTCCGGCTGGATGGCACTCAGCTAGGTCAGGATGCCCCAAGATGGCCATGAGTGCAGTAGCTGACTGCCTAAAAATTTCCTGGCGGGGGGAGTAGTACCCCCCAATTTTCTTAGGCATAAGCTCCGGAATCCAGGAGGTTGGGAATCATTTTCTAAAGCAGCTCTTAGAGGTATGCTCCCAACACTTGTCTACACACCGGGGGTGATGGATTTCTTTAGTCTGTTTCGAAATTCCTGCAGCACTTTGGGAAATGTTGTCAACATTTGGGAATCTTAACTGATGAACTTTCAAGACAGAGCTTAAGCAGCTGTGGCTGATGCTGCACTGTTTGCAGCAAAGCACCTGAGGGTGACGGGCTTCTCTCTTCCCCATTTGTTACCTTGAGCTCCTTGGCTGTAGAAGAACCTCTGTGCTGACTCTACATCCAAGAGTCTATGAGCAGACTCGACGTCCAGGAAATAATCCATTTTGGGGTAATCCATCTTCAGTGTTCAAAACAGGATCTTGAGAGAAGGTAATGGCTTCAATGTCTATAAAGAGGGGGGAAAAGGCCACAGTATTTCAGGCTGTCAAGCATGCCTATTCTTTAATTTAAATAAGAATACCCCATTATCATATGCCAACAGTTGACTGACATTCCTAATTTCAAAGCCCCCATTGCCAGAGCCTTTGTATTGTATGAGGAAATACAACTTTTAGTTAACACTGATTAAAAGGAATATATTCCACTTGCGAAAATGAAATGATCCAGGTTAAGGAAAAGGAACACACTTTTTTCTCCTCGCTGTATATTAGCTGACAAGAGTATGCTTTTAAATCCATATACCACCAGTTTTTAAAAGTCTACCTGATAAGTGGCTTTAGAAAGTGTCATCCCACCTCCAGGCTGCTGCTTCGGTTGGTCCAGGGGCTTCTGGTGTCCCCCTCTAGCAGACGGAATTCACCTTGCAATGCAGGCTGGCTTATTTGCTGTAGGAATGCCTTGAATTTCTTACTCTTCAGCCATTTCCTTCAGCACATTCTATACAGTGCTACTGGCTTAGCTGCCTATGCCCGATATAGGCTGCTTGTGGCACAGAACTGTGGTTTGTGCAGCAGCGACTAACATCACAGCCTTGCAACGTTTCCCATAGCCTGCCCTAGCCTGGCATGAAGAATAGTCAGCTCCTTTTCATAGGTCCTATGGAGTTCCCCCTAATCCTGGAACAGATGAACTCTATTTCTGCACTATTATATTTTTTTAAGGAGAAATAAGACGTCCTTAAAAATCACACTCTCAAGGCTAAAGAAATCATGTGCTTTCTAAAACTACACACTCTCATCTAAGAAACCGAGTGTTGTAAAGAAACTTTAAAAAAAAATTAGCCAAAGGTACCCCAACAGCAAATTATACTTACTGCAAAAAAAATCCCGGTAAAACCAAGGGCTGTCGACAGTCCAAATGCACAGTTTCAGTCAGCTGCCTTTGATCTCACTAAATATTCCCAGCGAAAGTAAACAGTTTTGATTATCTGATTAGATCAGTGATGAATAATGTATTCTGTCCACTGGACTTTCTCTATCAGATAAAATGGCCAGAACACGTTACCTTAGCAACAGAAGGTGACGCCAGTTTCAGCCTCTCCACGCCCTCCTCTGTGAAGGAAGGAAATTACCACTTTCCCATGTAAAACTTTGGCAGAGAACCATCAAAACCTACATGTAGGTTTTCCATCACCCAGGGCCATTCACAGGCTACTTTAAGCAGGGGTATCTCACAGTTATTTAAAAATCAGAATTCTGAGTTAATAATCCACCTTCACAATCTCAAATCCAAGTCTGCTTTGCAGTTACAACAGAACAGCGTGGTAAATGATTAGACAATAGACCAAGGACTAAGTTGGTTAGACCACGTTCGGGCACCTGTCTTCTTTACCTCACTGCTGAATGGGGCAGGGTGATGAAGAAAGGCAGTATTCTCAATATTCCCATTATAATTAATACACAGTAACAGTCACCAGCATCTAGGCTGAAAATAACTTTCCTTCTGTGAACCAGTCCCTAGAAACAGCTTAAAAAGCTCTCTGAAATTTCCCAGATTTTGAAAGACGCATTATAACACAGATCGTACGGGAGACACCCTCCCAGCCCACCAAAGGCAAGGTAGCCAGAAAGACGCATGCAGGGAAGAGTCTCAAAGTTAGCAGATACTCACCAGCACTTGTCCCCTGCAACAGGATGCCGCCAGAGAGCGGAGAGCAAGCTGAGCAGGGCTGCTGAGCCTGCAAGCCAACATGCACAGCTTCTAATTTTCCCTTCAATCTCCAGTCAAGAGCACAGAGTGGAAGGGAATGATGGATCTGCCCGTTTTATATTGTGATGAAATGTTACCCACCCCAAGACGGGATCTGAGCAGGGCTGCTCTTTAGAACACATTAGCCTGCTAATTTAAGAAAATTGAAAGGTTTTGTTTTACCGTCTTTTATGTGTTCTTTTCTGCTACCCCCTCAATTTAATTTGCATTTAAAATGATTCTCCTGTCTCCTAGACTCTCCAAGGTGTGGAGTACTTTCTAATCCTGAAGGGTTTGGTGCACTGCCACTTTCTCTCTGAGCTTCCAAACAAGGTGGGCAATTAAAACCCTGAGCTATTTTGTGGAGAAAAACACAGAAAGCTGGTCAGGTTTCACACTTCCTCTTTCAGTCTCTGCCTGGTCAAAATGCCTAAACGCGCTCCTCTTTTCTGAATGCGACAGAATTAGCAAAAAGACACTCTGGTTGGGTCACCCAGGTTAGCCTGGTTTGATATTCTCCCTACCACACCCCAGGGAGGACGTGTAGGCACAAGTCTTTGAGATATGTTCTTAAAAACCATAGTGTTAATCAAGTCTTGCCCTAGTGTGTGATTTCTGCAACCTTCCTCCACCTCATATGGACCAAGCAGAAGTGACACATCGTGATGGCTTGTTAAGACAAGAGAGGCAATGTTTGCAGGGCCCTGGAAGGACGAGCAGGCTCCCCTTCCCTAGGTACTCAGGGGACAAATGCTGGTGACTGAGTATCTGCTAATTTTGAAAAATCATCTTTTTCTGTGTCTTTCATTGGTGTGTTAGAAGGCTGTCTCGCATAAGAGAAACCAGAAAACGCTTTGCTAACTGTCTTGTGGATCAATAAGGGGTGGGCGCTCCCATTCCAAGGGGGCAAACCGGGTAACGAGTTCGTGCTGCAGAGAGATCAGCCTGATGGAAGAAATAAGGGGAATGACCAATCAGAAGACCTTGAAGGGAGGTCAGGGTGGCTCTGAATGTGCGAAGTTTTGCTCAGACCCCAGGCTTTAAGGCCTTTAAGGTTGAATTTCTGTTCATCCCTCAACAAGGCAGGTGAACACTTGACATTTACAAACCGAGAAAGCTGTCTTCTGGTTCCTTTCACTTACAGCAGAATGTAGGCGACAGGTTCTAACCCTCTATTGTGCTTCTACTGAAATTATAATGAGTCATAGGTGTGAGAGAGACACAGGGGGAGGGAGAGTGGAGAGAGAGGGGAGAAACAGCGAGAAAGAAGGGAGAGAGAGATTAAGCTGAAAAACATCAGGTACTGTGCTAAGTGTAAATGAGCCTGTGGTGGGAGATGATGCTAAATAGCATATTTGAAAAATAGATTGTGTTTCTGAATCTGAGAGTGGGTTTGGAATTTAGTAATCTTTGGAGAACTGACCAAGGAAAGGACACTTGAAGTACTTGATAAAGCTCTGGGGCTGGGGAGATGCCTCAGTGGGTAAAGAGCTTGCTGTGCAGGCCTTAGGACCCGAGTTTGAGTCCTCAGCACCCATGGAAAAGCCAGATGGGCAAATGCATGTCTGTAATCCCAGTGTTCCGAAAGTGAGATGTAAAGTGGAGACGTGAGGATCCCTGGAGCTTGCAGAGCAGCTAGCCTGGCACATGCAGTAGCGACTACAAAAGGACCCTGCTTCAAACATGAGGAGTTGTAGTGACTGACACCTGGACTTGGCCACTAACTTCCACATGTATGCTCTAGCATATGTGTGTGTATGTATGTATGTATGTTCTCTCTCTCTTTCCCTCCCTCCTCTTTCCCTTCCAGGTGATGGAAGTGATGTGAAAGGTCTATGATTTTAAAAGATGGATGTGGTTTTAACTTAAAAAAAAAAAGGAATGATTTGGGAAGGAAACGATTTACTCACAAAAGGGACTTTATTTTTATTAAATAATTGTTATATGTTCAAAACGTTACCTAACCAGCTCCTGAAATTGATCTCCTTCCTTTCTTCTTTCTTCTCATATACTAAAAAAAAAAAATTCCCTAGGTAACCCCTTAATACCTGATACAGTGTACATGCCGTGTAAGACATTGTTAGACATTACTGCCGAGAGAATGATGGTAAGAAGAGCATTCTGTGCGTATTCAGTACAGTTGCAATTTTTTTCACTGAGTTTTTTGATCCATGGCTTGTTAATTTCATAGATTGGTCCATAGAGACACAGGCTGACTGTACAGAAAGCTTTATCCATTCATCTTTATTTAGTTGACTCTCAAATTGGTACAGTTCAAAAGCAGTAGTTTGGGGATAGGGAGACAACTCATCAGGTCAAAGTGCTCATGGAGGACTTGAGTCTGGATCCTCAGTACCATGTAAAATGCTGGATAGGCATGGTAGCCAGTCTGTAATCCCAGCATGCATGAAGCAGAGACAGAAGCCATCTGGAGCAGTTGGCCATCTAGACTAGCTGACTGGTAAGCTCTGGGTTCAAGTGAGAGATCGTGTCTCAACATGTCAGGTGGAGAATTATCCAGGTAAATACCTGATGTCAACCGAACCTCCGACCTCCACACACATGTATGTACAAAGATATGTACCAAACACACATGTGGCTATGCACACAAATGTGAGAAAAAAAAAAAGAACAGGAGTTCCTCTCTTCTTGGCAAATAATTCTATTAAATCTTAACCTTTGACTAGTGAGAAAACTCTTATTTTCTCCTTAGGCCATGTACATCGCGGAGGACCAAGTGGATTCTGGGGGTTTAAAAGAAAGAAAAGAACACATGAGGTTGGGAGGGAAGAGTTCTTGTGGGGACAGAAGAAGAACTGGAGGAGAGAGGCCTTGATCAAAACATTATCTACATGTATGAAATTCCGAATCAATAAAAAAAAAAGACTGCCATCAAATAGCATGGTTCTGCAAACATTTTATCTAAGGCTTTATTCATATGAAAATTTCCCTGGAAGAAGAAATACTTTCAGCCGCCGTCAGTTATTTTTACATAAGAGCAAATTAATTTCTACTGCTGCTTTTGGAGGAAGGTTTGATAATAGTTGGAAGCTAAAATAAAATAAAAAGGCAGGGAATTAAGACAGACAGAGAAAAAGAACTTTTATGCTGAGGAGGAGTTTAATTTTATTTCACACAGGTTCATGGTCATAATGGGCAGCTTTCTTATATATAAGGTGTTATCATTTGTCTGCCAGAAGAGAGCATTGAAATCTGTAGACATCATAATTAGGATCATGGCTTGAAGATAGCAGGGCAGTCCAGAGGTAGATCTCTTTATCCAGATTTTATTATTATTTAAAATGAGTGTGTGTGTGCGTGTGTTTGCAACTGCACATGAGTGGAGGCCAAAAGAGGGTGTCTGATCATCTGGAGCTGGAGTTATGGGAGTTTGTGGGCTTCCCAGTGTGCATACTGGAGACCATACTAGGGCCTCCTGCAAGAGCAGTGTCCATTGTTAATCACTGAGGTTCTGCTCTAGCACCAGAGACAGATTTCAGCATCCTATTCAAGGACATTTTCTACTGAAGCATCTAACTTGCCAGTCCTCTCTGGAGGCAGCACTGGGGAGTACCGCCCCAGAGAAACAGGCTTGGGAGTCGTGGTGGAGGCAGGCTCACAGCAGCACAAGTGCTTTTGGCTCCTTTTGCTGCTGCTTCTAAAAATAACCTTTTCCCTCTGTGACTACATTGGAGAAAACTCAGTTCAAAGCATAAGTAACATGAGTTCGAATACCATCTTACCCTCTGCCAAACAGAATCTGATACGTTTGTCTTGCTTATGATATGCAAATCTCTTTGCTTTGCAGAAAAAAAAAATAGCCAGAAGTCTTTTCTCTCTGTGTCTGTAGATAATGGCCTGAAGAAGGAAAATGGAGGAATGCTGAGTTGAGAAAAGGAGAAATTGCCAAGCACCTCCGCTCACCACGACTTCCAGTTTCTAATTCTGAAGTTATGAAGAGGAATACCTAGTGGCAGATGTAGCCTTTGAAACATGACTTTTAGGATACATACACTAATTGACTTTACTTCCACTAGAATGAAAGCACAGTGCCCTGGATTCTCTGTACATTTATCGTTTATTTTCAATTCTCTTGGAGGGGACTAAAATTTAAGCACAAGTTAAATTGTATTTTTTTAGTCCTAAAACTCAAGATCGAAACTTGAAAACATCAAAAGACATGTTGAAGGAAAAAAAAAAACAAAAAAACCCAAAAACATTAACAGTCTCCAAGGGACACAACTCTACCAGACCCCACAGGGATCTGAGGGCCCTGAGCTTTCAACACACATTACAAAAATCACGCTGAACCCACCAGTGAGAGCCTACAGGGAGGCAGGGAGAAT